TACAATGCATAATTCAACCCAAAGAGGGGCCTCAGATGCTGCCTTGAATCCAAGATTTAGTGGTCTGACTTTAAAGTCAGTTTAGTGTCAGCTGATTTAAATGAAGAATAGAGATTTATGTACAGAGACCTTAATTTAAAATTTCAGAAAGAACCCACCAGACTTGGACAAAGAGCTCTACAGAACTTCTCTGCATTTTCTACAATGAGCATATAGTTAAAAGAAAAAAAAAAACAGAAAAGTCATCTAATAAATGTTGTATGAAGTCAGAAGGGAAATAGGACTTTTCTTTTGAGATCATGAAGACTTACCATGGGGACCATGGATTCAGGGAGATTTTAAGGGAATTCACTTCTAAAAACTCAACTTCCTAAACTAGGTCTTACTGAAAACTGTGCCTGAAGACATGTCCACTTACTGTTATACCTCAATATAAAAAAGTAAGAATAAATTGATGTAGAGTGTTCAGAAAATAATAAACAAAAGCTTCACTTTGGGTTTCTCTTGACTCTAACATCTTAGAAGCAGCAGGAGGTATCCTCAGCAACCATTATATGCATGTCTGTGGAGGAGTTGTCCAAGTCTTAAGAATATTCAAAGACTACTACATGAAATCCTCTAGCAATGAGAACAATATCACTTTAGACACAAGCCAAGCAATGTGATCTGATGGCTGTCCATTAAATGAATGAAGGAGACCTAAGAGCTCAGTGCACACAGGTGAGGAGGAGGCCAGACAATCTGCCTTGAAGCATGATCCTCTCAATGGCTAATGCCTGGAAATAATTGAGACATCTGAGGTAATCCAACCAGAGGAGGGAAAGATTTCACAGAGCACCAGGTAGGGGGACTGCCCAATCTGAAGACTCGGGGACAGATCAGCTGGCCAGGCAGTTAGCACAGTGTCCAGCAAGAACTGTGTGGAAGAATCACTTTAATAAAGAAGCCGGAAGATGTGGGGCTGTGAGCCATGTGGCAGTGAAGTGCCTGGGGGCCAGGTTGTTGGAGGTGTGGAGTCCAGAGACTAACTCCTGCAGCAGAGAAGCTCTGGAAAAGTTGCAAAGAAGGACATGGCGTCGGAGAACAGTTTAATGTTTAGGAATATAAGCCTTGACCCCAGAGAGCCCATGACAGATTCCAGCTCTGCTATTCTGCTCCCCTTGCCATGAGACCCAGGGCAAGTCCAGCTTAGGGACCTCGGTTTCCTCCCCTCTAAACTAGGGTTCTAATAGTAGTTATCTCACTGAGTGTCATGAAAATTAAATAAAATAATTCAAGTAAAGCACTTATTACAGTGCATGGCACAGTATAAGAGGCCAGCTGTCAAAATTATAATTATTTGTTCCCCATTTTTTAAAGCAGAGGAAAATGTCAAATAGAAGCAAAAGGTTTGTCTCAATCCCAGTTCAGGGGCAGAATTATAAAAATGAAGATAGCTGAGGCTCAGAGGGATAGGCTGAGCAGGGAGGGGTGGTAGCAAAATATGTCAAGTGTTTTCTACGCCTTTCTTTCCCAGCATGCCATGTGGGTCAGTCAGCATTCTGTACCCTCACAGATGAGAACAAGTCTAAGAAGGGAGGTTGCAGACAAAGGAGACTCTAAGGACTCTAGGGGACTATCAACACCCAGAAGTAGATAAGACAGCTCATGTTGTATTCAATGTGAATACCTAGCATGGCGAATTATGAATGCATTCAGTTATCTTTTCATGCATTTATTCATTCAGTAAGCATGTACTCAGCATCTACCACATGCAAAACACCGTGTGAGGTACCCAGGATACAAAGATTTTTAGAAGCACATGCATATAACTCCTGCTCTCAAGGAAAATAGGAAGTGAGTCTAATAGGGGGTGAGTTAAGATAGGCATTAATAAATTGACCCTGAGAGTTCAGAATTTTAACATACCAAGGATATGTTTCTCACTCAAGCTTGCACAGTGGGAGAGGGCAAAGGAGAGGGGAGGGAGGATCTGCTCCACACGGTGACTCAGGGACCAACACTGACAGATGTTTCACATCTCAACACTTTCCAAATCTCTACAGCAGTGGAAGGAGCAGGAGGGCTTCACATGGATCTTTAAACGCTTGAGTCTCAAAGTGACAAGCATTGCTTCTGCTCTGCCCATTGGCCAGTTACCACATAGCCCTGCCTAGCTACAAAAGGCTAGGAAATGTGAGGGAACATGGAGATTCTCTGAATCATAATCATCTCTGACATAAATAGGAAAGCAGAAAAGTAACAGCCATTAAATAGAACTTAAACATTGTCTGCTGCCTCCGGGGCCACAGGGAATGCCCTGAAGAACTACGGAAAGAAGGAACAGAGGTTGCAGAAAAGAGTAGAAGCCTCAAGAACTACGGAAAGAAGGAACAGAGGTCGTAGAAAAGAGTAGAAGCCTCCTCAGGCCAACAGAGATAAGAACCAGTCTCATTTCCCTTGAGAAAACATCCTAAAAAAGATGCTCTACTCAGTCAACTTTAGATTAACACTGAACAGGCAAGTGCTCTCTTTACCACCAAATTGAAATCCTTACTCCAGAACATCATGGCACTTCTCATCCAAGACCTTCACGTTACCTCTTCCTGCTAATTGTGTAAAATCATATACATTCTCCAAAAGTCCTAGGGAGCTAATCCCATTTCTAAGTCAAATAATGCTCTTAACTTGCTATGTGAACAAGCCCCACGCTTTAGAGACAGTTAATACCCACCTTGCCCTTGCCTACCTCTCAGAAGAAAGTATGGCTAAAGTGAGTCCACTAATGTAGAAAATACATAATCTTATGAAAACATGTGCTAGAGTCATTGATAACAAAATGTTTTGGTTTGTTTACACAAGCTGCAAGTAAGAAAATAATGAAATCTTACTGAGCCAGGAAATGTTATTTCCACAGAGATACATCCATCTTGTCTGGGGGTGGGGGGTTTAAAATATACATGACAGAAAATTTATCATTTTAACCATTTCCGTGTGTGCAGTTCAGTGTCTTTAAGTTCCCTACATTCACATTGTTGTGCAACCATCACCCCTGTCCATCTCCAGAATTTTTCATCATCCGAAACTGAAGTTCTGGATTGGTTAATCAATAATTCCCCATTACCACCTCCTCCAGCCCCTGGTAACCACTATTCAACTTTGTACCTCTATGATTCTGACTATTCCAACCTCCTCCCTCTTTATCAACAAATATTTGTCGAGTATGCACTGTGCCAGGCCCTGAAGATACATCTGTGGACCCAATAGACATGATCTTGCCTTCACAGAGCTTACATACATTGCCTTTGCAGCTAGGAATGTGAACAAAAGCTTCAATAAGGAGACTGTTACAGCATTGCACAGGGACAAATCCATGGCAACAGCCATATATTTTTTATCTTTTCATTTTTCAAGGAAAAGAGAGTGCTAGTGACTCTCTTCCTGCCTCTAAGATTGAGTACTTGATAGGACTGGCATTAGGATGAAACTTGCCTGGCATGAAAACCCTAGCTCCTTCCCCCATACAGTTCTGTGTATCCAGGGAAGTAGGTGAATCTTAGCAGGTGATTTCTACATCTCTAAAAGGGGATGGAGGTATTTGTGCAGGCCCATGGAATACATAATTCCAGGCAAGTTCATCTTCATCCTACCCATGTACCCAAATCATGCCATCTACTACTTCACCCACCTGTAACCTAGCTTTGGAATAACTGACCACAGAGCTATTCCATATTCTCCTCTGATCTTTTCTGATCACCTCCTTTCTGCCCATAGACAGATAACTTTGTTATAAATTTATATGGGAGATGGAAGTGTCCCAAAGGATCACAGTTCAAGATAGCACATCTCCAGTCTACCAAATTCTATTGAGAAATATATTTCCCAGAGCTGTCTGCTAGCAGCCACTGAGAGGCTCTCATGAATTGGGCAGGGTTCCTGTGTCCCAGTCCCAATAGCATCAGCAGTCACTGGACTTCTTGGTTTTTGTTAGACATCCTTTGAAAACATTCTAATCCCAGCACTTTGGGAGGCCGAGGCGGGCAGATCACGAGGTCAGAAGATCGAGATCATCCTGGCTAACACAGTGAAACCCCATCTCTACTAAAAATACAAAAAATTAGCTGGGTGTGGTGGCGAGCATTTGTAGTCCCAGCTACTCGGGAGGCTGAGGCAGGAGAATGGCGTGAACCTGGGAGGCTGAGCTTGCAATGAGCCGAGATCCCGCCACTGCACTCTGGCCTGGGAGACAGAGCAAGACTCTGTCTCAAAAAGAAAGAATCTGAATTAAATACCAACATCATTGTCTATCATTTCACTAAATTTTGACTAACCTACTCTGTCCAAAGGGAAATGAGAATGTCAAGGCAAGAAAAATGTGGCTGGTCTAATTTAGAAAATACTGAGATAAGGATTAGTTCCTTGGGAGGAAAGTTAAACTAAAAAATGCCCCAGTTCATTTTTCTCTGAGATTTCTCTGAGATCCCATTCGAACTCCATGTTCTTATCTGTAGAATACAGAGAAGGGCATTTAACTAGATACCCTTAAGCTTCTTTCTACTTCCAAAATTCTATGACTATGGCACATAATTAAACCAAGTAATATGTATCAGAATTGTGGTGAAACCTATCAGGATTACAGGGAAAACTTCAACATTTGCCAGGAGCTCAGACAGTAACTTCATCTGGGTTGGAAAACCTTGGAACGTTGGAAAACCTCACCTAAGAGCTCATGCTCTACACTGACTCTTTAACCTAAAATAGCTAAGATGGGAAAAATTCAATTCAGCATAATTGCTCTTCCTACCATCTGTAATACCAACTAATGATCAGAGTGTTTTAAGCCTGAATTGTTTCAGTCACTATGTGAAGAGAAACAATCACACAAAGACTCCCTCTGAAATCCTGTGAACTGTTCAGGCCTAGGAATTGTGATTGGCTGATTTCTTTTAAATATTATTGTTTTCTAATGGAGTGGGACTCAGCAAGGAATTTTTCAGGTCAAAGTAATACATATTTCTTACCCCTTGATAAATCCAGACAAGATGGGATATTCAAAATAGGAAAAAGACTTTAGGACAACGATGGAATGTGAATTGGCTTCTTAGCTCTGCAACTGGGAAGCAAAATTCCAAGTACTGGAAACCCAGAGATGTGGTAGCCCACTGGGGAAACATAGCTCTGAAACAGAAGAAGCTAGGAAAGAAACAAAAATTTAAAAAATTGATGAGTTACCCAGGAATTGGAAATAGTGAACAGTGAATAGAAATTCAGAAAATTTAAATTGGGGTAGAGGAAAAATGTATCTTATCATTCTTTAAAAAATAATTTTTTTGAAAGACTCAGGCTGTCTGGGCAAGGTACTAAAATATGCTAATACATTTATAACTTAGTGTCAGAGGGTCACTCTGTCATTCTTAATCCCCATGAGCTAGTCTCTGCCTTTATCTCCTAAGTAATGAACAAACCAGTCTTAGAAGATGAAATGGGTTGGGTTCACTCAGATTGGTTCAGATAGTTTTCCCTCTAGATAATAGCTGATTTTTAGGAAGGAGGCACATAAAAATTAGGCTTCCCATTTCAATCCATAAATCTAATTTTACTTCAGTGTAAGTAGGCCTTGACATCAACTTTATGTGCTCTTCAGCTCTATTCCAGCTAAACTTGTAAAGTCTTTCTGTATGGGGGCAACAAAGTACCTAGTTTCATGCTTTAAAAATTACTTTCAGTATAGAAAAAGAAGTAAGACTGAAAACACCACTACACAAATTGTACTGTTGTTGAACAAGGAAAGAAAATGTGAGGAGGGAGGGCAGGAGAAATCTATTTGCCTGTCATTTTAACAAAATGTCAGGCCTTTTTCAAGATTTCTAAGCTGGTCTTTACTAAGATTTGATTCATGGCATAGGACTTGTAACTAGAATGAGGGTGAACTTTTCTGTGATTTATAAGAGACTACTGTCACTTGTTCAAGGAATCTATGTTCAAGGCAATACATTAACTAGAATCCCACAAAAGTATGTAGACTCTTCAATCCAAGTTTCCAGAAACTTCTGCAACTGGGAAAATCAGTTTCGAAATTTTTTCAAATGGCAATGTGAATTCCCTGGAAGCAAAGTTTGTGTACCATCCTACACTCTCCTTATGAGGGCAATTATGTTATACCTGCTTGATTTAAATTATATGTAGTGAGTAGAATTTATGGCAAAGGTACTGCAAAGGAATTCCAACATTCAATGAATTTGCAGAAGAGGAAAGAAAGAAAATCATTATGTGGTTCAAAAAATAATGAAAACCTCTCAGACCCAAAGCAAAATTGTATATTTCTGTTTACAAACATACCAGTAAAATGCACGCCCTGAAAAACACTAAGAGGAAGCCTGCTAAGGTCACAACAAAAACAAGACTCATTGATATCCACGGTGCCTGAAGGAAAAGAGAACCTCTGTGAGGTCCTACTAAGTGTCAGCTACCTTCCATATATCATATGGCTCAATCCTCCCAACACTGAGACCTAAACGTTACTCTCTATGCACAGCTGAGGACACCAAAGCACAGAGAGGCCAAGCACTTTGTCCAAGATCAACATAGCTGGTAAACTGAGCCAGATTTTGAACACGAATCTATACAGCTACAGAGTTCAGGTTGTTAAATCACTTTCCAAGAGGTATTCTGTGCTTTTTCTAAGTTGAAAAGAGAATTTTCTGAGCTGTCTTCCTTCTTTACTTGCTATTTTTTCCTGAAAGGGGCTGCCTCACCTGAGGTAGAAATGATTTTAAATTCATTCCCATTCCCTAGACTAAAATAAACTCTGCAACATCCACAAATTGTTATCAGAAATATAGCACAGGGAGAGAAGTAGATATGCCCACCACAAGACAAGTTTTCCTTTTGACTTAAGGTATTCGATGGTGTTCCTGAAAGGCAGAATGCATTGAACAGGAGTTCTTTAAGATTCATTTCTTTGAAAATATATATATATATACAAAATACAGCTTCATTAAAAATAATATCTAACCATGGTTTTTAAAGTTTTTGTTTTTTCCCAGAAGTTTTATGTGTTTAATCTTGAGAACAACCCAAGAGGTAGAACAGGTACTCATCTAAGGTATTTGAGTTGTATGTAGCATTATATTAATTGCTACATACAATTACTTTTAAAGGCAAAAACCACAATTACTTTTGCACCAAACTAACATTATTACATGGGCAAGTAAGGTTTCATGAGACAAATGTTAATAAATACTCAATTGGCATATTAACTGCTTGGATACAAAGAGTTTACACCAAATACTTGAAGTCAGTTATTTAACATACAAGAGACTCTTAACTCAACATTTCCAGTGTGGGATAGCCACTGAGCCAGTTGGCATTCCTTCCCTAAAACTCAACTCTTTTTATTTGTTTTCCATTCTTAAATCTTAACACTTTTTTTCTTTGAAGTTCCACTGAGTATAAAAAACACTGCTGGCCAGGAGCGGCGGCTCATGTCTGTAATCTCAGCACTTTGGGAGGCAGAGGCAGGCGGATTGCCTGAGACCAGGAGTTCAAGACCAGTCTGGCCAACGTGGTGAAACCCCATCTCTACTAAAAATAAAAAAAAAAATTAGCCAGGTTTGGTAGTGCGCACCTGTAATCCCAGCTACTCAGGAGCCTCAGGCAGGGGAATTGCTTGAACCAGGGAGGTGGAGGTTGCAGTTAAGCCGAGATCGCACCACTGCACTCCAGCCTGGGCGACAGAGCAAGACTCCGTCTCAAAACAAACACACAACAGTGCTAGACATCACAGAGGCTAAAAAACAAAGAATCCCACAAGAACCAAAGTTGGAAACAGGAAAAACATGCAGAGCCACTAAAAATAATCTACAAAAATTCACATAGTAGTAGACATTAATCCTTGGCTGCACAGAGGAGTCATGCAATGAGCCTTAAAAATATCAATCACTGGGTCATGGCCCCAGAGATTCTGATTTCACTGGTCTGGGATGGAGCCTGAGCTTTGGTAATTTTTAGAAGCTCCCAAGTGATTCTACTGTACAGCTGAGATTGAGAAGCACTGCTTACAAGAGCAGTGGAGAGATACACAGTACATGGATGGCTGAGAGTGTCAGTGCATAGCTGTCAGGACATTGTAGGGATCTCCTTCCTTCCTTCCTTCCTTCCCTCCTTCCTTCCTTCCTTCCTTCCTCTCACCTGAATTGACCCCTTGAATTAAGTAGCATTTGGACTGGGTCATGAAGAATAGGCAGTTTTGAAGCATTGGGGATGGAGAACAGAGAAAGTGCGTCAGAGGAAGAGGAAATGCCATAAATCAAAACCAAGATGTGAAAAAGAACAAGGAGCATTTCAGGGATTTTAAGTTTGAGTGAAGCAGAGTGTTATGCGACATTAAGGGGAAGAACAGGCTAGAAATGTGCAGCAGGGCCCAGAGGCAGAGAGTCTGAAGGCAGCTACATTTGAAGCTGATTTCAGAAGTAATAAGAAACTACTGCTAATCTCTGAGCCAGGAAAGAATGTGAACAAAATAACTGTCACTCTGCAACTGGAAATGCAAGGAAATTCTTCTAGAGAATGTGCTGCATGGATTGTAGAGGACAGCCTGGAGAGAGAGAGGCCAGGTGGCAAGTGATAGAGATGAGGAAGGCCAAGGTCAGAGGCAGTGCACCAGGACCACGGCAGTGTGAGGGCAAAGGACACATCCAAGGCACACTGTGATGGAGGAAGTGACAGGACTTAATTGGATGATAGGAGACAAGGAGAGAAAGGGATTAAAGATGGCCCTAAGATTTAGCCCTTGGTGACATAATTAACAGAAATGGGAACTCAGGAGGAAGAAGCAGGTTTTAGAGGGCAGATGATAAATTCCATTTTATATACATTTTGCCTCGGCTGCTGTCATGTCATCAATTTGGAAACATCCAATGACAAGTCTGAAATTAGGAGTTGGAGCACAGCAGGGTATTTCAAGGTAGAAGTAGAGACTTAGGTGTCATGTTGTCATAATAGTGGACCACTAGAGAAAGCCCTAAGTGAATTATCTGAGGGACATAAGAAAGCACCTCTGGATATGGTTGAAGGGGCTTATGAAGGACACAGGGAACAGTCCAACACAGAAAGGGACAAGGACAGGCTGCATTATGGGACTCAATGAGAAAAAGATTCCAACAGCAAGGGATAATCTACAATGGCAAACGTTGCATACAATAATCACATGTGAAGGCAAGAAAAAAAAACCTGTGTATGGTCAATCACAGGTCATTGGAGACCAAACGCACAGAAGAGTGAGTGCAGCAACCACAGCATGTGATGTCAGAGCAAGACCACAAGAGGTTGAAGGTGGGAGGTAAGAAGTGGAGATAAAAAGTGGAGTCTTCTGGTTCAAAAGGTTTACAAGAGGAGGAAAGAGGAAAATATTCAGGCAGCTGGAAAGAGTATTAGAATCACCTAAAGGAGCATCATGAATGCATACATGTAGAGATTGGAGTCAATACAAGAGGTATTAAATGCCAGAGAGGAAGAGGGGACTGGGGAGAGTGAAGGAAATCATTGAGAAGGTAAATCAAAGGTAACCAAGGGGAGGAAGGTAAGATTGCCCCCAGACAAAAGGACAGATCCACTTTTTCTTAAAAGACAGAGAGGAGGTAGGATTAATAAAAGGACAGCTTCGAAAATATGAAAAGGAGAAGAATGAGGAAGCTAAAAGCCTGATGAGTTAGATTTTCTTAATGAAGCAGAAAACAAAGATACCTTCAAAAGGTGGGGGAAATGACATGGTCCGGGGGAAGGGACAAAGCCTTCGCAATAGGCAGGATGGGAGTACAAGCTGTGTGCTGCTGAACAGAGACTTTTATTGACTCATTATTGCCTGGATAGATCACCTAAAGTAATCAAGGAACCTATATGACACTAACCTCAAAATTATATCTCTAGAAGTGCTACCACCCAGAAATAATCTGAGTTTACAAGCTCTCTTTGTGGCATGATTCCCCACTAGAGGTCTTCAACCAGTAACTCTTTCACACCTTCAATTTAGGGTGTCACAATTTATTCAAAAGGATGCAAACTTCAGCCTACCCCAGTTTAACCCACTCTTCCCAGTTGGGCTTCACTGCTATTGTGTTCACTTTCAAGTCTCCCGTGGTCCAAGTAGACAGATTCTCAACTCAACCTACGTCCTTGAACAAGTCACATATCGTCCGCCTTCTCGACTGGAAAATGAAGGGTGATGATAATGCCGCACTGCCTCCAGGACAAAGGGCTTGTGAGGATTAAACAACAAATGGCTGAGCAATTTGCAGTTATGAAGCTATAGAAAAGCTTAGTGATCATCTCTGCCTGGCTGGGCACAGTGCAGTTCAGCAAACACAAAGGCCACATTCAGACCTTCCCAGGTGCCAAAGACCCACAGAGAGCTGGCCAAATGAAGCAGAATCAGAAGACAAAAGAAAATCCCTCAACAAAACAAGGCAAGAGGAAAGAGAGTGCACAGAGGAAAGGGATTGGGAGGTTAAAGGGTCATGGAGTTTTCAACCTCTGAAATTCTCCTGGACAAAGGAATCATTTCATGTTTCTCTTTGGGTTACAATATGTGAGTGCATTTATCGCAGACTGCACATTGACCCTGCAGCCATCTAGGAAATCTATCTGATGGACAGGAAGAGGTGTCTGATATGCACTGGCACCCCTTCTTTCCAATGAAATCAGCTGTTGTACCATTTCAAGGCTCCTACAAGGAATCTCACTTGTGGGTCATTGTCCTCCAGAAGAGAAGCAAGTAGAGCAACACCTCAAAGCCTTTGGGGTACACTTCTTTTCCTTCTTTTACTCAACCAGAGACTTATTCAATATTAACTTCTTCATGAAGATTAAGGTTTTTAGTCTTAGATTATAGTCTGGGCAAAACTATTTTAAAGCCCACTAAATGTTGAAAGTTGCCACACTTGTCCTCCTTATCAAGATCCTACAATGCTCTCTAATGAGTATCACAGAGGCTGTCTAAAGAAATACCCTCCTTGGGGGTGGGTGAGTCACACTTGAGTCTGTAGTGTAACCCACGGGTTCCCAAGGTCCCATGCAGCTTGAGAATCATAGAAGAGCACTTTGACACTGTATGGCTAGGTGGGATGAATGAGTGGTCCTCATCTACTAGATAGGAATTACCTTCAAGCTCCCATTCCAAAGGTGTCTGAGAGGCTCCAAGACAGCAGACACAGTGGTGATGCTACTATGTTCAGAGTGGAGCCATCATCTGACCAGCCCGGTCCTGCTCTCTAACTGCTTTCTCCATCACACAGTTCTGGTGTTCCTGGGTTCCAGTGCCATTGCTGTGGGATTACTGAGGCCACTACATCCTATACTGACCTGCTCTTGGCTACAAGGAACCCTAGGCCTCCGCCCTCACTGCACTGCCAGCCTCAGGCATTGGCCTCCATTTTGTGGTGGCCACTACTGCCTCTCTCCTGCTAACATCTCAGGGCAGCAGCTTCTTTCTTTATGTCCCTTTTGTTCAGAAGAGTCAAGGGCACTCACAACAGTGGAGTTGGGGGCTCTGGTGGCATTATTATTTTGCATCTTCCTCATACACAATCCTCTTACACAGAACACATGGATGTGGGCAGGAGGGCACGGTTGTCCACAGGATCCCCTGTGCCATCTTGACATTGGGTCACAGGCTTGGTCTTCCCCATCCTTTCCAACTCCTTGTTCACTGAGGGTAACTTTCTCCCATGGACCCTGTTTCTAATCTCCCTCAAACCAGGTTCCCACGGGGTAAGCATCTGTTATAGCGATATTCAGACACATCAGGATAGGTGTGAACATCAGGTGTCGATGAGATTTAAACTCTTTTTTAAGGGGCTTCTGGACCTCAGGCCTGAAGTTTGCCCTCTTGGGCATGTCAAAAGAAAATCTTTAGACAAATTAAATTTGGAGGGTTTTGTTTTGTTTTGTTTTGTTTTGAGACACAGTTTCACTCTGTCACCCAGGCTGGAGTGCAGTGCTGCAATCTTGGCTCACTGCAACCTCTGCCTCCCGGGTTCAAGCGATTCTCATGCCTCAGCCCCCCAGGCAGCTGGGATTACAGGCATGAACCACCACACCCTGCTAATTTTTGTATTTTTAGTAGAGACGGGGTTTCACCATGTTGGCCAAGCTGGTCTAGAACTCCTGACCTCAAGTGATCTGCCCACCTTGGCCTCCCCAAGTGCTGGGATTACAGGTGTGAGCCACCACGCCTAGCTAAATTTGGAGTTTAGATGAGAAAAGAACAACTTGTGAATCAGAAAGCCCCTGAACCAGAAGAGGTTCAGAGAGACTCCAGTGCTGCCACATGTATAAAGAAGATTTATAAACAGACAAAGGCAAGTGATGTACAAAAATGGAAGGGAAGTAGAGAAAGAGCTGGATTGGTTTCAGCTCCATGTTTGCCTTATTTAAACATGGTATGAACAGTTGGCCACCTTTGATTGGCAAAACCTCAGTGATTGGCCCAAGAGTAGGTTATGGTCTGTTTACACATCCAGTTAGGTTACAGTTCACTATGTACAGAGAAACCTTTAGGCTGAACTTAAAATATGTAAGGAGGCAACTTTAGGCTAGACTTAATTTAACAGTCCATAATGATGACTCCAGCCTGGGTTCACTCCTCAATGTCTAGCTGACCTATGGACAATTCACATCCTTGCCATTCTTCCCAGTGGGAATACAGGCCCTGCAGCTGCCACCCCTTTGCCAGAGCCAGGCAACTTCCAGAAAATCTCTATGAGCTCCACTCCAGTCCCTGGAGTGAGCTAACAAACTTCTATGGCTCAGCAAACAGCCAGGTGGGAAAGGAAATGAGATTCTCTCTCTTTTTTTAAGAATATGCCAAATCTCTATGAGCAGTTCTCTTGATGTGCTACTACTGCCCACCTCCCTGGCCATGTATATGTGTGCACATGCACACACACACACACACACACACACACACATGCACACACACAGCCACTACTTCCTGGGCTGACACAACCCTTTTACCTTTAACTGTTTACCTTGATGGCTTTCTCCAACCCATCTTTCAAAGGTTTAACCTTATTTTGGATGGCTTGAAGGTGAGAGACAGGGTTGATCGTTTTATGACTGGCTCTGCTATCCTCTTATAAATCCAGCAAGAAGGTCACTAATCCACCCACCTCTAGAATGTAGGAGGTAGTTATTGCTTTGTATTCAGCTTTAGAGCATCAACAGGATATCATCTGTTTTATAAGTGTATTTAGGGGGACCCTAACCCAGCAGCGCTAGAGGAATTAAAGATGCACAAACAGAAATATAGAGGTGTGAAGTGGGAAATCAGGGGTCTCACAGCCTTCAGAGCTGAGAGCCCGGAACAGAGATTTACCCACATGTTTATTAACAGCAAACCAGTCATTAACATTGTTTCTATAGATAAAACTAACTAAAAGTATCCCTTATGGGAAACAAAGGGACGGGCTGAATTAAATGAATAGGTTGGGCTAGTTAACTGCCGCAGGAATATGCCCTTAAGACACAGATCACTCATGCTATTGTTTGTGGCTTAAGAATGTCTTTAAGCAGTTTTCTGCCCTGGGCGGGCCAGGTGTTCCTTGCCCTCATTCCTGTAAACCCACAAACTTCCATCTTGGGCGTTAGGGCCATTATGGACATGAAGAGATTTTGTTTATGGCCAGTTTTCAGGCCAGTTTATGGCCGGATTTGGGGGGGCTTGCTCCTAACAATATTTAGGTTACTAAATACAAATTTTGGTGTGAGTCACAATCGTTTAAAAGCAATGTTTACTAACCATTTTAATATGTATCAGCTAGTATTATATCTGCTTCATGATGAGATACATTCTAGAGTATACCCACAATTTAGTGCATAAAAGAGAAATTATAAAACTTACCGGAGCTTCAAAAAAATCAGGAAGAAATCTAACAAGGCAGCACTTAACATTGATTATTCCCCTTATTTGAAATCCAGTGAGACACTTTTATTTGCCATGCATGTCTTAGGCAGCAATAGTTCTGATGGCTTTAAAAGATCTCTAGAAATTGAAAATTAGGAAATTAGTTTTTGAAAAACACTCTTTGCCCTCCCACCTTAAAGTAAAAAAGAATCACCCCACATAAGGTCTAGTTGTTGGATTGAATTACCCATTTTTAATGAAATCCTCAACATGAGTTTACCCCTCAAGTAAAAAAAAATCCAGATAAATTAATATGCTTCCAAACTAAAGATAGTGTGCTATTTTACATCATCCAGAAATGGTCACACAAGATAAATCTGGCTTGACATTTAATCTCTGCTGTCATATTTTTGGCTCTTTCAGTATCATTGACCAATATATTATATAAACTTCTACTCTGAACCTAGACAGAATAAATCAACTGTATCTTTTTGTTTGGGATCTTTTTTGCAGAGTTGGCAAGTTTTGACACACAGAGAATCAGAAGCAGAGGCATCCCCGATGATCCCGCTGTAACTATATCCCTGCAGCTTTCACTGCTAAAATGGAAGACATCCACCCACATGGCTCCTTGGGCAGCCTTTGCATTTGCCATGGTTTTCTGCATCCTACCTATCTCAGAAATTCGTTCTCTCAAGCCATGGCATGCTCTCCAGCACTTCCTCAGGGAATAGCCTCCATATATTGCCTGCCCTTTATATTCTCTCCTTTTCTGGTGGTGCCCAAGTCATTGTCCAGAATGCATCACACTCGACCAAATGGAGAAAATGTGCCTTTGGATCCTCCACCTCTCTCTCTGCCTTTTCCTTCTCATTGTTGTCTCCAAGTCGCACCCCAGTGCTGCAGGTTTGCTCCCTCCTCTTACCAAAGGGCATTCTCAGGAAAGAATCAGAACAAGTCATTAACACATTAAGAGTGAAGTGTAAAAAACTGATAAAGTTTCACCTTTCCTTAATGCTTTTAACAATCATTAAGTCCCCTGTGTGGTTTTAGCTGAAGCTCTGATTGTGACAGACATTTCTCTGCAATATAGTCTCATTGTTATTTAACTATTTTATATGTCATAGTCTCATTTAACTATTTTCCCAATCTCGAGATTTGACCCCATCATACCCCTCCGTCTCTACTCTGACACCCAGCCATTTCATTTCCAAATATCTAAAATGATTTGCCTTTTCTTCTCTGCCAGCTACTCTCCTAGGCCCCATTCCACCATTGTCTCTCAGTCCTAAAACGTTGCTTCACCTTCTCCCAATAAACTATACTCTACACTCACTCCTCTAAGCAAAATTGATAAACAAACTTTCTAGGAAAACTTTGTCCATAACCTCTTGAAGAAAAAAGAGAAACTGTAAGTCCTCGAAAGTGGGTTTATAGCTCATTCCTCCATTACCGAAAAACAGCAAAGGAGAAAAGATAAAGTAGCCAGCAGTTCTTGGTAAATTGAAACCAAGTTTGCGTGTTTTTATACAAGCCTCTAGCATGTGATAAAAAGAGTTATCCAAAGGGTTACTAGGCTTAATATATGAAGAGTTCATTTTAAAAATTTATAATTTCCAATAGAAAAAATGTTAAAGTTACATGAACAAACAATATAAAATGATGAAATGTAATTTGTTACAAAAGGGAGGAAATCTTCTCTCCCATGCATAATTAAAGCTTCAATAAAATAAAGATTCTTCAAGTGCAAAATTAAATTAGAAAATAACAATAATAATGTTGTGGGAGAAGAGACTGAAAAAGCCTTCTGGAGAGCAATTTGGTAGACATTAAAATTTTTTTAGACTCTTTATTCAGTAATTCCATGTCTAAGGAAACATTCTAAGTGAAGAAAAATTTAAAATATGTTTTTAAAAGTTTGTAGCAGCAATGCTTATAAAAGCAAAACATTGGAATGATCTAAAGACCCAATGATCAGGCGATGCTTTAGTAAAATATGATATATATACTTAATAGCACAGTAGTAAAGCAGGAAAAAAAAAAAAAAAAGAAGTGAAGCACTCACAGTTTTGAGGAGAACTGACCAGAAGAGCTGCCCAAACAGGAGCATCAAACTGGACTTTGTGTGAGGCAGAAATACACCTTGATTGGATGAAGCCACTGAGATATCAGGGTTTGTTTGTTACTGCATCATAATATGACCCACTCTAACTAATAGATTAAAAACTTAGTGAAAGTAAAGAAATCCACAGGAGATAAATTCATAAATACATTCTGAAAGAGAGAAGGCCCAGAGGCGCAACTGATGACAAACAGAGCAGAGACAGCTACAGTCCAGTGTGTGCAGGATAAATCTACAGTGGAGGTGGGAAACAGACTTTGCAGAAGAAACCTACAAATGTCATCAAGGAGGAGGACAGGTGTGAGGCACAAAACCGAAAACCAGGAATTAGTTGAATACCTGGCAAAAGAAATGTTGGACCAGTTACCCTGTTCACAGAGAGGTAGGTAAGCCGGTGTTTACCTTCCAGGAAGAAAAACAAAATCTTCTCTAAGCAACGGAAAGAAAGGGAGCAGGAAGGAGGGAGGGAAGACATGAGGAGGAATGATCCAGTAGGATTTCCTGAAAGGGAGAATAGAGAAAATGAAGAGTGAGAGATTATCAGAGAAATAATAATCAAATATTCTCAGACTTGAAGAAAGTGTCTTCTATTTGTATGGGCTCATGGAGTACCCTGCATATAAAGGGAACCACTTGGACACAGAATTGAAATCTCAAAACAGCAAAGAGCAAAACAAGATAAATTTAAAAACAATGGTATATCCATACTACCTGAAATTATTGGCCACTGACATAATTGAAAACTGAAGTAGTTCAAAGCGACAACCTCTGAGAAGGACTGTTGTTGGACAGGATGGCTGAGGGGCTTGATTTTCATTACTAATTCCTCTGTCTGCTTTGTGTTTCTTGCTTTTGTGCATTCCCTGGGTGGATCTTTATTTTAATGTGAAAACAAAAGAAGTAAACATGCTGCCTACCATATCTCTAATTACACCCATAATTATGAATTATGAATAAGAGGGAAAAAGTCACCCTACCTATATATAACTATTATCATTATTAGAAATATTGTTATCATCTATTGTTATTATATAGAAATGAAATTATTATTTGCTGATGCAAATTACATCAGTTAGCTTTAGAATATGCATTTTTCTAAGTACTCGTAATTGACCTAGGCCTCTTTGGCTCTCTCCCTAACCCACATTAGGTCATTGGCAGGAGTAAGGATAAAATGCACATATGTTTGGTACAGGTACAACTGCATTCAAAAATGAAAGTTATTTAAATTTGTCATCATTTAATCACCCTCTTATTTTCTTTCCATTAGCAACTATTAATTATGGGTTCAATTTAATACATTTATACTCCGCCACTTTTTAGGGAAAAAAAAATTGGAAGTCACTTACAAAAAAATTTTAAAAATTAATTAAAATAGGGATTTGAAAGAAGGTAAAAATGGTGGGAAAAGAAAATCTAACAGGCCAATCATAGTAGTAGACATGGTAATAGTGATAGAGCCTAAAACTTGGCATCGCATTTCCTGGAAACTGAGGCAACAGGAGCTCAGGAAGTGGCAATATTTCATCTCATAAATGATACAGACCACCTTCTTGGGAAAGACAAAGGTCTTTCTTGAATCAACTTTGAAATATAATGGGTGGGGCATTACAGACGGGGCATTGAAGAACATAAAGCCAATGTTCTTCAACAAACACAGAGTTGGAAATGTCCCTTTGACCATGTGATTTAGCATCCATACCCACCCCTGACACCCACACTCACAAAACCCAGCCCTTTTTCAATGCCCATCTGATTACACTCAGTGAGTGGTTCCAAGACTTGTCTGATCATAGCAATCAGCTGGTCAGTTGGTTAAAAATTCTATTTTCTTTATCCAGTCTAGCATTGATAGGCATTTGGACTGGTTCCAAGTCTTTGCTATTGTGAATAGTGCTGCCATAAACATACATGTGCATGTGTCTTTATAGTAGAATTATTTACAATCCTTTGGGTATATACACAGTAATGGGATTGCTGGGTCAAATGGTATTTCTGGTTCTACATCCTTGAGGAATCACACTGTCTTCCACAATGGTTGAACTAGTTTACACTCCCACCAAAAGTGTGAAAGTGTTCCTATTTCTCCACATCCTCTCCAGCATCTGTTGTTTCCTGACTTTTTAATGACCACCATTCTAACTGGCATGAGATGGTATCTCATTGTGTTTTTGATTTGCATTTCTGTAATGACCAGTGATGATGAGCTTTTTTTCATGTATTTTTTGGCCACATAAATGTCTTCTTTTGAGAAGTATCTGTTCGTATCCTTTGCCCACTTTTTGATGGGGTTTTTTCTTGTAAATTTGTTTAAGTTATTTGTAGATTCTGGATATTAGCCCTTTGTCAGATGGATAGATTGCAAAAATCCCATTCTGTAGGTTGCCTGTTCACTCAGATGATAGTTTCTTTTGCTGTGCAGAAGCTCTTTAGTTTAATTAGATCCCATTTGTCTATTTTGGCTTTTGTCATGATTGCTTTTGGGGTTTTAGTCATGAAGTCTTTGCCCATGCCTATGTCCTGAATGGTGTTGCCTAGGTTTTCTTCTAGGGATTTTATGGTTTTAGGTCTTAGATTTAAGTCTTTAATCCATCTTGAGTTAATTTTTGTATAAGGTGTAAGGAAGGGCTCCAGCTTCAGTTTTCTGCATATGGCTAGCCAGTTTTCCCAGCACCATTTATGAAATAGGGAATCCTTTCTCCATTGCTTGTTTTTCTCAGGTTTGTCAAAGATCAGATGGTTGTAGATGTGTGGTGTTATTTCTGAGGCCTCTGTTCTGTTCCATTGGTCTATATATCTGTTTTGTCCCAGTACCATGCTGTTTTGGTTACTGTAGCTTTGTAGTATAGTTTGAAGTCAGGTAGCATGATGCCTCCAGCTTTGTTCTTTTTGCTTAGGATTATCTTGGCTACACAGGCTCTTTTTTGGTTTCATATGAATTTTAAAGTAGTTTTTTCTGATTCTTTGAAGAAAGTCAATGGTAGCTTGATGGGGATAGCATTGAATCTATACATTAGGCAGTATGGCCATTTTCACAATATTGATTCTTCCTATCCAGAACCATGGAATGTTTTTCCATTTGTTTGTGTCCTCTCTTATTTCCTTGAGCAGTGGTTTGTAGTTCTCCTTGAAGAGGTCCTTCACATCCCTTATAAGTTGCATTCCTAGGTATTTTATTCTCGTTGTAGCATTTGGAATACTATGCAGCCATAAAAAAGGATGAGTTCATGTCCTTTGCAGGGACATGGATGAAGCTGGAAACCATCAGTCTCAGCAAACTAACACAGGAACAGAAAACCAAACACTGC